AAGATGTGTGGCAGTTGGAGACGTTCATGTCCCTTTAAGAAGCTGTACCGATTGAAATCGAGAATCGAATCATCACCCCGAGAATTGGAATCAAATTGTTGTAACATTCACACCGCTAAAAAGCAGTGGCGCTGCAAGGCTGTCACCAGGGCTTGAATGACGGGGGAGCTATGGGGGAGCCCGGCTCCCCAGAATGGGTGACATGCTCCCCCAAAAGCCCTCAACTGACACACTCACAGGGAGCCCGAAAGATGACCCATGACCCCCCCAAAGTTTAACAAAGATGATTTGTTGGATGAATTCCAACCCTCACCCCCACTCTTATGGAATTGTCGCGGGGCTCCCCTGGTAACGTGAGTAATTCCAGCCCTGGTTGCAGAGGTGGACTGGCAACAGAGCTCCCCCTCAAAAACAGCTATGTGCCCAACAGTGACGTAAAATTTACTTTTTACTGTCACACAACGGTTGTGGTTGTGACTTGGTTCAAAGTTTGTCAGCCTAAAGCCGGGCGGACACTGTGCGACTTTTTCACTCGTAGCACTCAGCTTCAGCTCAAACTGTACGACTTCCTCGCAGGGCAGATCTCACGAGTCATGCGCTCACACTGCACGACCCAGTTCTCGGATGCGATCTGACTGCTCACACTGTACGTCTGGTAGCAACACGTCGGACCAAAAAATATGCTAAAAATAGCAGTTTTTACACAACACGTCAGACTTTTTTGTCTTGCCTGTTGTCCTTCGGGAGTGCTGCAGGAGGACACACAGGGATTTATGGGGGTTGGATGAGGAAAACGAAATAAAGAAAGTAAATCTGTGTTTTGTGATCAGTTTAGTTTGACATGAACACGACAAACACACTTTCTCAACAATATTTGTGAGTAAAAAACGTGTAGAAATAAAACCAACGTGTGTTATTAGGGAAATAGCGGGCGAGCGGTGTTGATGCATGATTGCGCATGCGCCGTGAGTGGTTCTGATACTTTTTGGGTCGCAGCCGCTCACAGCGCCGCTTCACCAGTGCGATACCCTCACGAGGGACGAGCAAAATATCAAACACTCCAGAAGTCCGTGCGAGCTCACGATAGCTGATCGGTAGCTGGTCACGTGGTGTTAATCGTCTCTCGTAACCCCCCGTACACTACACGACGCTCAGCGCAAAACTCGCACCGAGCTTGTGGATTCTTGCATGAGTGTAAAATCGGCTCAAAAAAGTGAAAAAGTCGCACAGTGTACACCCTGCTTTATGGAGGCCCGTGGGGGCCCCAAGCAGTTGCCTGCCCCTCCTATTGGTATGCGGTGCCTCTGTAAATGAGCCTGCTGTGAAAGTTTCATCAGACACGTTTCAAGTTTTCAGGTGGCACATACGTAGATGTGGTTGTACCATATTTTTAATTTTAACTCAAATTTGAAATCATCTTTCATTTGTTTAACATTTTATTTCTGATGTTAATATTTTATTTAATTTTGATCTATGTGAAGCACTTTGTGATTCTATGTCTGTGATAAATGCTATAGAAATAAAATTTACTTACTTACATCCTCAGGATGCTAAAATGAGAAGAACCGATAACAAACAGCAGAACAACATACATTTAATAAATACTTAAATCCAGGCTAAAGAGCATAAAAAGAAAAAGGTGGTGGATGGATTTCACAGAGAGTTTCAACAAAGCAGAACTTCCACAGTTTTGACTGTTACTCTAAAAATGTTTACCAAAAACATAAAACACGACTAATATAGGATAAGAAAAACTTGTAGGTTAAAACAGGTGTTTCCAAAAAGCCTGAATGTGATGAGAAACACCAAAAAGGTAAAAATAACCAAAGGTGTCGATGCCTTTTCAAACCAAAGTCAGTTTATCATCCATTCTCTGAGTTAACCTACTTTTTATTTTTTCGGGGATTTTTAAACGCAAACCTTTATTTTGAAACAACTCACAGGAAGTAGATTAACAGAGCTCAGTCTCAATTTTGCAGAAGTCTGAAGGAGCCAAAGAAGGGGGAGAGAATGGGTGAGGAGTGAGATTAATGTTAAAGAGGATTAGAGCAGTCTGAGCCATCTGAAACCCCATCTGATAAACCTTATTACCACACACACACACACACACACACACACACACACACACACACACACACACACACACACACACACACGAGACATCATTTTCACACATGGATTGGCCACCACAGAGTCCAGACCTTAACCCCATTGAGAACCTATAGGATGTGCTGGAGAAGGCTTTGTTCAGTGGCCACACTCTACCATCATCAATGCAAGATGTTGGTGAAACATCAATGAAACACTGGATGGAAATAAATCAGGTGACATTGCAGAAGCTTATCGATACAATGCCACAGCAAATGTGTGTCATAATAAAATCGTTTATTTTAGTGGCAACTTGTTTTTGGGCCAGGCGCTGTATGTCTTGTATATCTCTTAACCCTCCTACTGTCCTAACGGGTGTGACCCTGCAAGGAAAGTTGACCATTGAGCAGGGTTGATGGTTTATCCCTTGGGTCCACGTGGCAGGGGTGAGGAGTGAGCACCACCTCACCCCTGCCACGTGGGCCTCAAGGGATAAACCATCAATCCTGCTCAATGGTCAACTTTCCTCACGGGGTCACCCATAAAGACAGTAGGAGGGTTAAAAAAATAATTCACAAATTTGTTATCTATTAATGAATTTCTTCCTTTCTCTCTATGTTGATGCTTGATGCTCAGTATTGGATTGGCTTTTTTACCTGTATCTGATATACTAATATTGTCTGACTCTCAATTTCCAGTGCCGATATAAACCAACGCCTTTTGCCAACTCCGGGTCAGGAGAGAGGTCCTACCTCAAGTGGAGGAGTTTAAGTATCTCGGGGTCTTGTTCACGAGTGAGGGTAGGAGGGATCGGGAGATCGACAGGCGGATTGGTTCGGCATCTGCAGTGATGCGGACGCTGAGCCGATCTGTCGTGGTGAAGAGGGAGCTGAGCCAGAAAGCCAGGCTCTCGATTTACCGGTCGATCTACGTCCCAATCCTCACCTATGGTCATGAGCTTTGGGTAATGACCGAAAGAACGAGATCACGGATACAAGCGACCGAAATGAGTTTCCTCCGTAGGGTGGCCGGGCTCAGCCTTAGAGATAGGGTGAGGAGCTCGGACATTCGGGAGGGACTCGGAGTAGAACCGCTGCTCCTCCGGATCGAAAGGAGCCAGTTGAGGTGGTTTGGGCATCTGGTCGGGATGCCTCCTGGACGCCTCCCCGGGGAGGTGTTTCGGGCATGTCCTGCCGGCAGGAGGCCCCCGGGTCGACCCAGGACACGTTGGAGAGGTTACATCTCCAATCTGGTCCGGGAACACCTTGGGGTCCTGCTGGAGGAGCTGTTTGAGGTGGCCGGGGAGAGGACGGTCTGGAGCTCCCTAGTTGGGATGCTGCCCCCGCGACCCGGACCCGGATAAGCGGAGGAAGACAACGTCAACGACCTTTTTACGACTCCTGTTTGGGATTGTTGCCATGCTGGAAGATCCAGCCATGTTTCATCTTCAATGCTCTCACTGATGGACTGGCTTTTTTACCCAAAATCTCACCATTCAGGGCCCCATTCCTTCTTTCCTTAATAAGTTGTCCTGTTCCTTTGCAGAATAGCGGCCCCAGAGCATGATGTTTCCACCGCCATGCTTCACAGTGGGTATAGTGTTCTTTGAATGCAACTTAGTGTTCTTGCCCCTCCAAACACGGCATGTGGCGTTTATATAAAAGAGTTCTATTTTGGTCTCATCTGACCACGACATTCTCGCAGTCCTCATCTGGATCATCCAGATGGTCTCTGGCTAAATTTAGATGAGCAAGGACGGACAGAGGGTACCCACTATTCCGAACATCCGTCAAAAGTGACAGATGCACAATTATTTTCTGCATCATACAAATAAGTTCTTTAAAAATCATTAAATGTGATTTCCAGTTTTTTTTTTCCATTCTGTCTCTCACAGTTGAAGTGCACCTATGATGAAAATGACAAACCTCTGCAATCGTTTTACTGGGACAACATACGCCTCGTCCTTCAGCACAGATCAACATTCCTCCTCCATTTCTGTCATTATCTCTTTAAACTACTGGATTTTCACGCTTTACACAGGTTAGCTAGAGTCTCTGAGTAGCTTGGTAGCCAGAAGAGTCAGTTACTATGGTTACGCTGTCTTGTTGCTACGAGAAATTAACAGCTTCCCTTCATCCAACTTTCTGAAGCTTTTGTTGGACATGAAAGATTGACTGATTGTCTGAATCGTGTAAAACTGACTCAAAACATTCAATCTATGAGTCCTTTTTGTAAATATAAAGTAAAATAGTCGCTACAGTGTACGTAGGTCAGGGATAATCGGGTGATAATGTTTTTGCCTCTGTGAGTGTGTAAGAAATGAACCACTGGACAGACTGACCAAACTTTTAGAAAGTTGTCGTTGAATGTACGTCTACTAGATATTTATGTTGGAGACAAGATGGCTACCACAGCTAATCCTCTTAGCCAACAGAAACTCAGTTGATTTTTACCGATATTGAGCTAAAATCTGGTGTGGGAGAATCTAGGAGTCAATCACACACAACAAGTAATTGTGTGTGATTGACTCACAATTTCAAAAACTGATTGACAATGTGTCTTAGCCCACATAAAAGTAATTTTGATGTGAATTACGGTAAAACTGGCTGCTAGGTGTTCAGAAAGGAATGGAGTTAACGTCTGAACCTACTATGAGTACCATCACCTGGATGACTTAAAAGCTTCACCAGTGAGAAAATAGTACTTTTATTAGAGTAATTTAGTCTCTTGGTTTGTCTTTCTTCTTTTTTATTTCTTGTTGCTCTATGTCTATTTAATGTTGACCTGTTTACATTTGCATTGCTGTCTGGAATCACATTTGTTAGGTTTGGATTCATGATGCGACTCACTGACAAGGATCTTTCTTTCATTTTCACGATGCAGGTTGGCTTTTATATTTTGATCATTTTCTCTCCTGCAGAAGAAAAGCGTACTTTAAATTCTTTCAAAACATCTTTATTTTCACAGTGAAAGCTGCAAACAGCATTACAAATATGAGCAAAACATACAAAAACAGTATATGCCGTCTTCAGTCAGCAAAGCTTCAGCTTCTGGACAGAAATCCAAACTGTAATAACTTAAATGTGAGTAAAAACACCGGTGCAAAGGTCAGGGCTTGATCATTCTGGTTCCACAAACCCAGCAGGAAGTTCAACTCAAGCACCTTTAAACTGTTATTAAAGAGGTAAAGAGTGTCGATTAGCCCAGTTTGAGCTGCTGTCGGATAAACTGGGTGACGTAGCTTTATTAGGCGTGTGTGTGTGTGTACAATACAGCAGGCTGGTTGCACCAATATAAACACGTGATTTAGAAGAAGAAACAGAGAAGTGGTTTGCAGCAAAAGTCGTGGATCATCCGTTCTTTCCATTTTCAATTAGAGATGTTAAAGTTGCTGTTTACATGGTTTTGTTTGTTTCCAGAAGTCCAATGAAAAACAATTGGCTCTGCTCATAATCAGAGCGTTCTGTCTGCTGGAGACAAAAGAACACCTTTCTGAGAACATCGGCAGGCCACCTGTCCAGGTAAACCCGAGCAATGAAATATTACAATAACACCTGCGCCTCGTTCTGCCGTTTTGTTTTTTGGACCAAAGACTAAAACTAAAAAAATGAAAAACAAACCTTTTCAAGTTTTGTATGATTCACTCGACCTTTCCACCAGACAACCAAACGCCACATAACGTCTGCAAAGCGCCGTACGCAGAAGTTAGCAGCCCTTATAGTGGATAGGTGCGTTTCCCACGGCAACATGAACAAGAAAGCAGTTTAAAACAAAATGGAAATTTAAAAAAGTAAAGCTCAAGTGCAAATTTCCAGTTGCTTCACTTGTAAAGCATGAACAACACTACGTGTGAAACTTTCGTAGACGAGGTAAAAAAGAACAGGAAATAAAACACTTTTAGACTTTTACAACTCCATTACTCTCCATGCTGTAATTTCCCCATTCACAGGCTGGAAACTGATTATATGAAAATAACAAATACAACAATACAACAGCCATATTGTTTGGCTATTTCACTGTCTGGGAACATCTTCTTTAATAGTCGTTTTGTGTTGTTCTACATTGAAGGTGGTGAACATACGTTCTGGCTGAATTGGCCTCAAATCAGTCGCTTGATGGAAAAACTGACTGAATTTTAGGGACAGCATCTACTGGCCACCATCTTTAAATGTTATTTTCCCTCCACGAGGCATCAACAGTCTACAAACACATGCACATACTTGTTCATATCTCCTATTTTGACTAGTAAGGTTAGAAAAACGTTTAGTTAGGGAAAAAAAGGAAAAAAGAGAAAAAAATGTTTAGTTAGGAAAAAAGGAAAAAATTAAAGAGAAAAAAGTTTTGTTAGGAAAATAAAAAAGGGAAAAAGAAAGAGAAAAAATATGTTTAGTTAGGAAAAAAAATAAAGAGAAAAAAGTTTTGTTAGGAAAATAAAAAAGGGAAAAAGAAAGAGAAAAAATGTTTAGTTAGGAAAAAAAAGGAAAAAAGAAAAACAAAACAAGTTTTATTGGGAAAATAAAAAAGGGAAAAAGAAAGAGAAAAAAATGTTTAGTTAGGGAAAAAAAGGAAAAAAGAAAGAGAAAAAAATGTTTAGTTAGGGAAAAAAAGGAAAAAAGAAAGAGAAAAAAATGTTTAGTTAGGAAAAAAGGAAAAAAATAAAGAGAAAAAAGTTTTGTTAGGAAAATAAAAAAGGGAAAAAGAAAGAGGAAAAAATATGTTTAGTTAGGAAAAAAAATAAAGAGAAAAAAGTTTTGTTAGGAAAATAAAAAAGGGAAAAAGAAAGAGAAAAAAATGTTTAGTTAGGAAAAAAAGAAAAAAGAGAAAAAAGATTTGTTAGGAAAAGAAAAAAGGAAAAGAAAGAAAGAAAAAAATTTTTTGTTTGACCAGAATCTAAAATATCAGTATCATCAAGCTGATAGCCAAAAGTTCACTGCATTGAATGATTTCAATAATTAAAGGTGCATTATGTAGAAAAGACGTAAAAATGACATCCTGTGGTGGAATTTGGTGGGCGTGCATTATGCTATAGGTTAGGCAGAATTGTTTTTCTCCACTTTTCTACGATGATTGGCTTAAACCTCTTCACCATGATGCTGAGTTGTGTTGTCAGACATGAGTACCACACGTGCACATCTGCACTCACGTGTCAGCAGATTTTTGCATAGTTTGGAGGGGTTAACCAGCGTATTTAGATGGCAATTGTACGTATACGCACCTTTGGCCACAATCTTTACGCAAAATGCATACAGGTTGGCAGGTCTGCGTGTCTTTCTCCTAGCGTTTTATCATGTGAACAGCCGGAACCCTCCAATCATTGCATGATCTTGTGGGACCAGCTGTGTGTTTTGTTGCCGTTTTGTGTCTGAAATGCTCCCAGTGGGAAAGAGGGTCGCGGGTAAATCCGGTCTATTACATTACGTGTCAAATGGAAAGGCTGGGTCAGAAATATAATTAACTTTTTAATTTTAGGTTTTTAATTGAAAAAGGAAAAAGCAAATGAAGCGTGGATTCAGTAAAACCACCCGGTCTGAAAACTGGTGATGTGGAATGTGACCCTCTATCTCCAACACGTAACAATGTCTGTTTTTATTTAAGGCTCGGTGATCAGACTAAACCTAATGATGGAGGCTAACTACACCTGAGTGGAGCTCAGAAGGCCCGGGCCAGCTGGGCTCCCTGACTAACGTGTGTGAGCATGGTCTGAACCAGCTCGGGGAGCTCGTATTCGTGCTTCCAGCCCCAGTCTCGTCTCGCTGCGCTGTCGTCCAGAGCCTTCGGCCAGCCGTCCGCTGAAAACACACACCGCCCCTTCAGAATATTATTTAAATAATTTCTGTAGTTATTTCCTTAGGAACCTCACCTATAGCCTGTCGAACGGGATCCACGCTGTAGACCACCTTCAGGTCGGGCAGCACCTTCTGGATCTCCTCAGTTAGCTCCTCTGGACTGAAGTTCATGGCGTTGATGTTGTAGGTGCGGCTGACGAGCGTGTCGCTCGGAGCCTCCAGGAACTCCACAGTAGCTCGGACGCAGTCGTCTGGAGAAAACAAAAGAGGCGGGGCGACTTAAAGGAGGTGTTAACGATCTGTTTTAACCGTACGTGAAACACGTAGAGCCGGCGTACCGATGTACATCATGGGGAGCTGGGTGTCACCGCGCAGGTAGCATTCAAACTGACCCGTCTTCACCGCGGAGTGGAAGATCTGGACGGCATAGTCTGGGAATTAAAAACAGACACGATTGGACCAAAGCGGAGACTTTATAGAAGCAGAACCAACGAGGTTCTGAAATCAGCTGTGGTAAGATGCCCAACTCTAGTCCCTTGGTCTGTGACTCGAAGCTCGTTGGGGCGTCTCACCTGTGGTTCCACCTCCGGGCTGTGAGTCAGCTGAGATGATACCAGGATACCTGAGACAGCGGAAATCCAGCCCATACCTGTGATGGTAGTACTGAGAGACAATCACAGAAAAAGCAAAGAAAAAAACAGGAAGGTTTCAATTTTGAGGATTTTAGACACGACTTTAGGTTCATTGTCTCACCTCTCCCATTAGCTCGGCGTGCACTTTGGACACACCGTAGATCGTGCGTGGTCTCTGAACGCACAGCTCAGGGGCGGGGTCCCTGGGGGAGGACGGACCAAAAGCCCCGATGGTGCTGGGGACAAACACGCGCAGGCTGTGCTCGGTTGCAATGTCTAAAATATTGTGGAAACCTGAGAGGTGAAGGAAAGTACGCATGAGGAGGTTAAAGTTCATTAATGACATCTATGTTCAGGTGTGTGGACACTCACCTGTGATGTTGACCTCTTTAGCCAGGGTGACGTTCCTCTCTCCCACGGCCGACAGCACAGCGGAGTAGTGGACCAGCCAGCTGATGTTGTTGTTGACCACGATCTCCCGGAGGTTCTTAAAGTCCAGGATATCTGAGAAGATGAAGGGACCTGTGGAGGACAGGACACGGTAATCAACAAAGATGGACACCAAATCTGACCTCATCAGATGCACATAAAGTTTGGCTTTGTGGGGCAGGGATTTTTGCCGCATTTTTCGGCGTTAGGAGTCAATGCTTCATTTCCATCCATTCTGCTTCACCATTGAACTCTTCCAATTTTGCAAATGCCGGTTTTTTGGCGACGTCTGTTGACGTTACTTCCTACTGAATTACAACCAATCAGCATGAGTTAACCACAAGTCACGCCCAGTGACTCTACCCGACTATTCTGAGTGCCTACCCCAGTTCAAGTACTCTGTTGGTTCCTGATATGGCCACAAAATGGTCCTTTTGGGCCGACCCAGTGAAGCGGTGACACAGAAGCATCGGGTAGCTTTGGTAAAGTTACCAATAGCAGAAAGGGCCTAAGAAAATTGACCCTACATTAAAAAAAATCATACAAACCACTGTTGTAGACATGGTCGGGGGGTTTCCGGATGTCAGACAGGATAACGTTGTTGTTTCCAAATCGCCTCCTGAGGATGAAACGTCACCAAAAAGATGCTAAAATTACAGCAACGCTAGACAAGCAACACTGTTTTATTTATTAAGGCTGAGGCCACATGGTCTAAAACTATGACTGTAACATTTCTAACCCAATAGTGAATAAATAACTGTTCGGCACGGTGGTGGTGGGATCAAGGTGTGGGCCTCACACCAATTCCAAATACATAAACTACCTACAAACATCAACACTGTAAAGGCTAGTGGTCCAAATTTAACGAGTCTTCCCGTCTTGTGTTTTTAAAGCTACCTCAGCAGCTTGGCAAGCGCTACTCCCAGCTGTCCAAGCCCGCCTGCATCACACAAAGAGAAGGTTAGTTAGTTACAGTTTTATTACATACACTGCTGGACACACACTTTAGACTTTTTGATAGGGCTGGGAAATAAATGTAAAATTTATCGTTATCGAAATTTCTGACTCTTTTCGTGATCATTTTTCCCATGTCAATAAATCTGATAATAAAAAAATGAAAAGATGTGTGTGTGTTGGCAACGCTCATGTCTCTTTAAAGAGCAAGTCACCCCCAAATAATTTTTTTTTTTGCTGATAAACTAAATAAACGAGTGTCTAATCGTGCTGCAGACACGTGTCGTCAATAATTTGGCACTTCAGTGCATCTTAGTTAAAACTGAAATATTCTGCCTAAAACTGGCAGTGTTGTGCCGTTGTCAGGTAAAAACTCTGCACTGTATTTTCATTTAAATCTGCCACCGCTATTGGCTAAGAGGTATGCTATGATGTAAACTGGTACGTTATGATGTCACAATGCTGTCGTGAGCCTGTGTGTGTGTATGTGTTAGAAGCTCCGCCCTCTCGGTCTGCCAGGCAACAGCATTTGTTGCATTTTTCAAACATGAAGTGGGAGTGGAGTTAGACTGGTAGGGGTTGACTTGCTCTTTAAGAAGCAGCGCCACCTTGAGTCACGTAAAAATGTAACTCAACTTTTGTTTCTGCGCATACCTGTAGTTATCGTCCATTTATCGTTATCGAGGTGAAATCCTTAATATATGGTGATATTGAATTTAGACCTTATCACCCAGCCCCACTTTTAGATCAGCACCTTTCAGAATAAGTCGACCTGAACAAAAACAAAACCTCGTTTTCAAATGATTCTATTTGTTAGGGAAACAACGCAATCCAAACCAACCTGGCTCTATGTGAAAACGTATTTACCCCTAAACTAAATAACTGGTTGTAACAACTGTAGTCAAGCGTTTGCGTTTACCTCTCATCACTGTGGAGCAACTTTTGTCCCACTCGTCGTTTACAGAAATTCGAAACGGCCGTGTAAACGTTCCACGCAGCAGGTCCCGCGAGATCACAAAATGATTGGAGAATATCAAGACCATGCGTGATTCTGAACGTTTGAATGATAACAAGCAAGCAGTTTAGCGTTTACCTCGGCTTTGGAGGTTTCACAAAGACATACTTTTTGTCCAAGCGAAGCGAAACCTACACCTCTTTTATTTTGAAAGATTCCAAATGTTTCACACTGCTTTAGTGTTTGACTTCCTGTCTGGTCTGATCAAAACAGCTGAGTTCGACAAGTTCTGGAAGCGTAAAAAATGGAATCGAAATGCAACACTTTACGTCTGGTGAAAACACACCCATCCACTATAACAGCAGCGGACATTACACGACGCATTCGCGTCCGGTGGAGAGGCCCGGTCAGAAGCACGCTAAATTGAGCCAAGTCACGTTGAGTAGGCTCTAGTACGGGGTGGCCACCTCCCCCTCCCAGAGGGCTGGTATCCAGCATGTTTTAGTTGTGTCCCTGCTTTCTGCAGAAGCCTGTTAATCATCTGCAGATTAAAATGAGGTTGTGTTGAAGCAGGGAAACAACTAAAACATGCTGTGTAGCGGCCCTCAGGGAACAAAGTGGTTGTCTACTCCTGCTCTAAAGGAAAAGAGGTTCATTTCTCATCTAACAAGTGTGTTTTTCAAGTAGCCACTAGAGAAAAACGGTGAATAAATGTCAGAAGATGAACAAACCAACCAACCAACCCGTGATGAGGACCATGGGGTGGTCACCATCAGCACACGATGAAAAATGAGCTCTTCTGAGGCCAGAGGGTTGGGCTGATGGGCCCCAAACCCAGGAGACCATTGGCTCTATGCAGTGAGGGGACCTGTTCCCAGCATGCACTGCTGCACCCCTCATCAACTGCACCAGCAACATCACACACCTGTCAACACAAAAACATCCAATAACAATGGAAACATCTGGGTCACACACTCGTAGTTGACTCGGCATTACAAATGAATGAGGAACTTGGAGATCCCCTGCCCTGACCCCCACCCGTCTCAGGTTATGCTCCCAGCTGACCCCGTGGTCTAAATATAAACTTCATCTATAAACCTTCAGCTTATGGGGACGGTCTCACTTCGGCCGCTGCTGTCCCCAGGAGGACAGAAATACGGCTTTAACCTGTGGATGACGGGTTATTTAGCGTTTCTAAGTTGTCTCGAGTTACTTTAGCCCCACTTAAGCCACTAGCGATAACATCACCTTCATTAGGAAATAATAGCCTCGCTGTTAGTGAGCCGCTCGGCCGACGCGTCTGAGCTTCACGGAGCTGAAACGCAAGCAAACGGGCTGAAAACGCAGCGGAAAACGGCGCAGACACGCACAGCTTACGTTAACCTGCGCCGGAGGGTGAATATTGAAGACTTCCAGAGAGTTTGTGGTCAAACAAGAGAGTTCTCGCGTGGAAGAATTTGGCCGCACTGTGATTGGCTTAAGGCTCCGGAGGCTTGTTGAACGACGCACTTCCTATAAAGACTTTCAAATTAAAAGTTTTACGTCTTCGTTGAACAACGTTAAAGAGCAAGTCACCCCCTACAATTTACTAACTCCACTCCCACTTCATGTTTGAAAAATGCAACACATGCTGTTGCCTGGCAGACCAAGAGGGTGGAGCTGCTAACATAAACACACACACACAGGCTCACGACAGCATTGTGACATCATAATGTACCAGCTAACATCATAGCATACCTCTTAGCCAAAAGCGGTGGCAGATTTAAATTCAGATACAGTGCAGAATTTTTCCCTGACGACGGCGCAACACTGACAGTTTTAGGCAGAATATGTAAATTTTAGCTAAGATGCACTGAAGTGCCAAATTATTGACTACACGTGTCTGCAGCACAATTAGACATTCGTTTATATAGTTTATCAGCAAAAAAAATGTTGATTTGGGGGTGACTTGCTCTTTAAAGGGATACTTAGCAAATTTAGAATATTTAAAAATCATTTTCTTGCGCCGGTATTTGCTAAAACGACCCTTTACAGGGTTAATGAAAACCCACCCAGCCCCTATTGCCCCCTGTTGCCAGAATATTCCACTTGCAACTTCTAACTGGCAGGCTGCTCTTTTGGGACTTAGAAAAATGGAGCTGACTAGAGGTCTTAGCACATCTCTGTTGTCGCTTGGCTTCCCGAGGCTGGAGGCTAGGAGGGGGATCTGGCCGTCTGGTTGGGGTCTGGGTGGTGGGTTGCTTTGCTTGGCGTTGGGCGGGGGAGCCTGCTCATCAGCACCCCCAGCAGAAAGGGTCGAACTCTGGGAACCGGTGATGGTTCTACCCTTTGTGCAGCAGTACTGGGACCACAGTGAATAGGGTGTGTATGGGGAGTATGAGTGGGTGTCTGGCATGCATTTTTGTGAGTCTTAAGCCTGATTCATGCTTCTGCGTCTGCGTCAGTGCGGAGACATGCAACGCCATTATCCGTCCTTGCGGGCCTGCTGGAGAGCCCCGCAAGGACGTCCGGAGTCGAGCTCTCTTTTCTAAACATCCATCAGTCGAGATGGAGAACGCAAGCTTGTGATTGGTCAGGGCACCGCTGTCGTCTACACCGCCGCCATTGCGCCCTCAAAAACATAAAGAGAGCCGAGGATAACTAGCGGTAGACACGGAAAATCTTGAAGAATACCTCGCGAAAAAACTCCATGAACGTTTAATTCCCCCGTGACTGGAGGAGTGAAAAGATGCACAGCAGGCATTTTACTTATGGACGGAAATGACAGGAAACGTGGGTTTAGAGGTGGCGAGGGCATGAAGTGATGGAGGAGGATGAGAGACAAATTTGTGTGTGTTATAAAGTCTCTTATATACAAAAAACACAATATAAACACACTATCTTGGACCGGATACATGACAGGATACCACAGAACAGCGCTACGCCTTCTGTTGTCCTGGCGGGGAATTGCTTTGCAACACTCTTCAGGAGACAGAGAAGTATGAGAGCAAAATGTCTCCATCCGTGCGTGCGTGTCTCTCCCTGTTGGAGCTGATGGAGAAGCATGAATAGGGCTTTAGGTTATATGTGTATGTGTGAGCATGAGGGAGGGAGTGTGTGACTGTGTCTGTGTATGACTGTACATGTCAGGTGGGGCCTTTGACTCCTCCCTTCTCCTGGGACTTCTATTGCTGCTATACATCTTCGTCTCCCCTCCCCCTGCCACACCTGGTGTGGAGTGTGGTGCCTTGGTCTGCCTGAGTATTCGCGGCTCCCAGGTCAGGGGGTTTAAGATTTTTAGCGTCTGCCTGATCAATCCCGGTGGCTACCTGGTGGGATCTGGGTCCCTGGGCTCTGTTGGGTCCCCGGTAGGGCTGGTCGCCCCTGGGTCCCGGGTCGCTGGGTTCCGGGCTCGGCTGGCTTGGGGGTGGGAGGCTGCGGGCGGGCCTGTTGGCTCACAGGATGGAGCTGACCCACCTGGTTGGTTTTAATTAATTTAGTGATGAATCGTTCCTGTAGACACTAATGAAGGATGGGGAGACATTTCAGCAGTTGTTAAAAAGACAAACGCACAGTGAGAAGATGGGTTTTAATTTTTGGTTTTACAAACAGACACTAGGGGGTGCTAAAAGCAAGGAAAAACTGCCTAGTTCCCCTTTAAAGCTGAATAAATGTAGCTTTTGATGGGTCGATGCTCATCTTTAAGAAGGTATTACTTATGAGAACATTTACTGAAGGTTCTCTGAGGGTTGTCATGGTGTGAAAGTTATATAAATGTTTTATTGATTCCCTGAAAATCACATCCATTTGAACAAAACAGGTTACTAGCTTGTTGCCTCAGCTAAGACTGTTATGTTGCACAGAAATATCATTTATTTTTCATCTTGTTAATCTTAATTTGCACACAAGAGGGCAGTATAGTGCCAGAAGTAATGGGTGTGGTTACCTGTTGTTCAAAGGGAGAGAGAAGTTTTATTATTGTAGACGGCCTCCCATTAGAATGAAATGACTGTTTCCCACCAAAAGTCATTTTCCCCCTCTCCTCTGACACAGAACTAGTCTGCATGAGATATGGTCTCAAGGTCTCATGCATTTGCTATAAACTGCTTTCTTTCCAGCTCAAAGAGAAGAATGAAGAAAGGACTCTCTCTTTTTAATAAATCAAAGAACTTTATTTTAATAAAGCTAATCAAACAAAGTGTTAGTCAATAAGATGTGACCTATCTGTGAAATCAACATATTACTTTATTATAATCCTATAGACTATAATAAGTAATATGACTTTAAATGTTTCCACTAGGACTGATCTCACGTAGCAGTAAGACATGACACATTGCTTTCACTGATCCAATCAGAATCTGCCAGATCTGACGGAGGCGTGGTTTTGGTGGTGTTTGGTAAATCTGTCATCTTTTCATTCGACCATAAACCAAAACATCCAAAGTATAAAACTATGCCCACGTCAGCTCTAACGCCAGTTCAAAGCGTTCTAGAGAAGTTGTCAGAGTGGCCAATCCGTAACTTTCCTCTTCAGCCAAAAGAACCAACGAAGAGCTGGATAAAATCTGTTGCTGTTCCACCTGCTGCAACGGTTCCTTTCAGAATAAAAGCTGAACCATCACGACCCAGGTTTGGGTCTCGCTAGACGCCAACAAATTGTCGTGACCCGGGAGTATCTCAAGACGGGTGGTCGGCTGCCGCGGCTGTTTCTACAGGCTTCGGCTCCATAAAGGTCAAGCTGGACCTTTACACCTCCTGATCACGACGGGGACTTCCTGAAGGGTATGTAGACCAACAAATGGCGTTGAATGTGTTTATGAATCTCCTAACCAAAGCTTAGCGCGAAGACACCACCTTCATTTTCCATCAGAACCAATCGTTTCTTCGGATTTGCTGGTTCTGAGCAACATTACACATCACACCATTCTCTATCTCATCCACCTTAGTTACACCATACATTTAGTGTTAAAGTTAGTCTAGTTTAATTTGTTTAGTAATAAATCTTTTAACTTTTAAACTTGACTCTCTCTCTTCTGTTGTCTCTGAGTGAATACGAAGCTGTAATCTAATCCCTGCAATAAAAAGTTCCAATCTTCTGGTTAAACAGTACCTACAAATCCTTAAGATTGATTTCACATTTCCTATGGAATCCTACGTCTTATGGCTTATTAAATAACATGTAATTTAAATCATTACAGAGATAATTTTTGTTTACTTTTGTGTATGTATTTATTTACTCATATATTATTCCTCGTTTAGCAGGACTGTGCATTTAAACTAAAAAAAATAAATGTACATGAAAATCTTAAGACTTGGTTTAGACAAGATTGCTGAATGTTGTTGCTGAAGCAAATATTTAAATCTAATTTATGTCCCTTTGCTTAATGCTGATGGTTAGTGACATAACCAGCAAAAGAAAAGATCAGAGACATGCTAATAAGCCGTCACCTGTTATCATTTGCTCCCTAACGAATTCCCTTCTGACAGCTCTGAGCTTAAATCAAAAATTTAAAACTATGATTGAAGTTCTTCTGAACTCAGCGACCCTCGTTAGCTAAAACCACAAATGCACGTGCTGCCATGCTCCACATTTCATTCATTTTCTACAAACCGATGCATGGATGTTAAAGTCATAAAGTGCCGCAGGAATAAATTAAGCATCTGTCAAGTTGTTGTGATCGCTCACTAGAAGAATGACAAGTGTGATTAAGTTGAGATGTGTCAATGCAAACTGGATAAAATTAATGGAACAAATTCCTTCCTGTAATTTAGATGAAACCTCGTGTCAGTTATAACCTCGCCTCCTTTTATTTATCGTTCAAGTGATTTATTCTCTGATGTAGGAGAGGAGATTAATCTGTGTCTTGTATCACGAACTTGAACAGTGGACGCATACAGTAGACAGATATGTCGTTGAGTTTCAATTAACAATACACTTTTCCTTTTTTGTTTTGTTTTGATAAATTGGTTGATTATTTTTCCCATTTAATGAGGAGAATCAATCAGGAATATTATGGAAAAATGTGTCACACAAAGTACAAAATTACACCCCCCATGTTGGTTTGTCCTCAAACTAATTATGGAACACGAAATCAGACAAACAATCCCAATTAGGCTAATTTTACACTTTTATTTTGTAGCAGACAAAAGCTTTATGATCAAATAGGACATTAAATTAGACAAAAACAAAATCTGCAAGTATAAACTTCAAATTAAACACCAGGACAAGGCAACAGGAACCAAGGATCAGGAACAGTAAACTGCAAAACTAGGGACTACGTATACAGGGATAACTCATTAAAGGGGCATTATGGAAGTTTGACAGCCAAAACATGTATAGAAATAATAAATGTCTTCTTCATACATTCTCCTGCAATGCCCTGGTCCTGTAGAATGAGCCTTGGCATTTTTACTGTGATTGCATGTTTTTCTGTAAAATCACAGAAAAAGAGAGATGCTCGGGTCGAGCAGGCTGCTTCATGCGTGTTCACGCTCAGGCATAGCCCGTAGCATTTGCTATCAGTAGCTTTAGCAGCAGAGAGTGAGGTAGTGCCAACTCAGTGACTTTGTCGCTCTTCCTAATGCCTAGTGATGAACCTTTTCTGAGGACACTTAGCTACTTTCTTCTAGATATTTCCTGCAAATTAGCAACAAAATAGCCATTTTTGCTCCGAACCGTTATTTGGTTTGACGTTGTTTCAGCTGTCATCAAGGATATAAAAGTTACAGATACTGTTAATGCAACTAGAGTGTAGCTCACCTTCTAAGATGTCTGTCTCTCATGCAGAAGAACCTGGGTTCAATTCTGGATGTGAACATAGTTTATTTAAAGTTTCTTTTTTACATTAATAGTATATTTTTTTACAGTAAGATGCCCAAATTTTTATTTGAGACTCGCCGAACGGCATTGAATTCACAGATGAAAAAGATGTGGGTTCAACTTTCATTTTGGAACAATTTTTCAAGCAAGGGAAGGGAATGATCTGAGCATGCAGGAGGACTGACCCATCATAAACCTTTGTCAGCTGTGCTGAAGAGAAAGGTACAGAACCAAATTATTTAATTAATTAGCTGCATGTTCTCCTGTCCTCTGTCCTCCGGGCCACACACGCACACACACACACACACACACACACACACACACACACACACACACACACACACACACACACACACACACACACACACACACACACACACACACACACACGGGACTTTCTCAACTGTTATTTTCGTTAAGGAGTGTGCATGTACCGCATGGGCACCTCATGCACGAGCCTACTATTGAAGCTGCTGTTACGCTTTTGGGCTGAAGAGGCAATCGCGAGCATAAAAATTCAAAATTCCGAAAAATCAAGGTAACTAAGTGGGAAAGCAAACATCAGGAACACTAGGGTAGTAAAATGTGGAATGGGAATATAGTATAAGGTTTGGTCCCCCTCATTCAAATAAAAGGAATGTTGTTCTGACTAAAATATTAAAGTACTCCTTAGATCAGTTTCCCCACGTGTTATAACTAGTTTATGCTTTTGCGTCGGTACGGAGACACGCAACGCCATTATCCGTCGTTGCGAAGGCTCTCCAACAGGCAAACAAAGATGGACGGAGTCGAGCCCACTTTTCTAAACATCAGTCAAATAAGACGGAGAGCGCAAGCTTGTGATTGGTGAGGACGCCACTTCCTTTAAATTCCTTAACAGTACCGCCATAGTGCCCTCAAACAAATAAAGAGAACCAAAGATATCTGTCGGCAGACACGGAGCAGCTTGAGGAATACTTTGTGGAAAAAATCTAAAACTAAGAA